TTGGGAGTGAAGCTAAATGGCTGATGGTTCCCACATGTAGCAAAGTCATTCTGGAAACCAAAAAAATAATTACCATGTTGCCTCTGTTACAACATATATGGCATTTCTTTCAAGAAAAAGCTTCAGATTTTAAAGAAGTCAGTGTTTGAACTATCTTACAAAATTTCATTACTTAATTCTGTATGTCATGCTAAAAAGAAAATGGCTGCTGTCCAAAATGAATTATAACTCACATTTTCATGTAAATGAATATAAATAAGAAGAAAAATAGAGAAAAAGTAACTAATTCTAATAGCAATGTGTGAATCATCAACTACATTTTAACCAATGAATGCTGTAATTTGCACATTTCAGAAATCTCTTTTTGCATTTGTACAAATAATGCCAAAATAACATTCTGCTTATTCTCAGAGTTGACAAAATATTCCTCTCTGAAAGTCTCAACTCTTGCCATAATTCACTGTAGAATGGAAATTATTGTATAAAATTATTCTGAAATCTACCTGTGTAGGTTTAGTTTATTATGATCCACAGAGCCAGAGGTTTTGGTGTAGTCAATGAAACAGAGGCACATGTTTCATCTGGTGGTGGTAGTTTAGTCGCTAAGTCGTGTCCAACTCTTGAGACCCCATGGAATGCAGCCTGCCAGGCTCCTCTGTCCATGGGATTTTCCAGGCAAGAATACTGGAGTGGATTGCCATTTCCTTCTCCAGGGGATCTTCCCGACCAAGGAATCAAACCCAGGTCTCCTGCATTTCAGGCAGATTCTTTACTGACTGAGCTATGAGGGAAGCCCTTGTTTCATCTACCAAACACCAAAAGCCTTTGACTGTGTGGATCATAATAAATGGTGGAAAGCTCTTAAAGAGATGGTAATATCAGACCACCTTACCTGCCTCCTGAGAAATCTGTATGCGGGTCAAGAAGCAACCAGTTAGAACCAGACATAGAACCAGACATAGAATGGTTCCAAATTAGGAAAGAAGTACAACAAGTTTGTATATTGTCACCCTGCTTATTTAACTTATATGCAGAGTGCATCATGTGAAATCCTGGGCTGCATGAATCACAAGCTGGATTCACAGTTACTGGAGAATTATTTTAAAAATTCAGATATGCAGATGATACTATTCTAATGGCAGAAAGTGAAGAGGAAGCTATTCAAGGTCTTTCGTGTATCCATAAAAATTTTAAGAATTTTTTCTTCTGATTCTGTGAAAAATGCCATTGTTAATTTGATAGGGGTTGCATTGAATCTGTAGATTGCTTTTGATAGTACAGTCATTTTGACAATATTGATTCTACTAATCCAGGAATATGGTGTATCTTTCCTTCTGTTTGTGTCATCTTTGAGTTCTTTTGTCAGTGTCTTACAGTTCTTGTCTCCTTAGTTAAGTCTATTCCTAGGTATTTTATTCTTTTTGATACACTGGTAAAGGAATTATTCTGATCTTTCATTGTTAGTGTATGGAAGTGCAACAGATTTCTGTGTGTTTATTTCATACACTGAAACTTTACTAAATTCATTAATAAACTCTAATAGTTTTCTCATGTTCTCTTTAGGATTTTCTATGTATAGTATCAAGTTATCTGCGAACAGTGACAGTTGAACTTGTTCTTTTCTAATTTGGATTTCTTTTATTTGCTTTTCTTCCCTGATTGTCATGGCTAGGACTTCCAAAATTATGTTGAATACAAGTGGTGAGAGTTGACATCCTTGTCTTGTTCCTGATCTTAGAGAAAATGTTTCTAGCTGTAGGTTTGTTGTACATGGCCTTTATTATGTTGAGGTATGTTCCCTCTTTCTGGAGAGTTTTATCATGAATAGGTGCTGAATTTTGTCAACAGTTATTTTCTGCATCTATTTAGATGATCATATGGTCTTTGTTATTCTGTTTGGTGATGTGGTATATTATACTAACTAATTTGCAGATACTGAAAAATCCTTGCATCCCTGGGATAAATGCCACTTGATCATGGTTTATGATCCTTTTAATGTATTGTTGGATTCAGATTGCTAGCATTTTGTTGAGGATTTTTGCATCTACGTCAGCATGGTATTGAATTGAAATGATGGAATAAAGATCATGCTATGCTGTAATAAATCAAACTGAAAATAAGCAGAAATGAAACTAAACAATTCAAATATATATTGCAACAATAATGAGAGTTCAGTGATTTATGGAAATTATGAGCACATGTTTTCATTAAAATTTTTTTATTTATTTAGAACATATAGCCACTATTGTGTGCAAAACTAGTTATGAGTACTTTGTAATATTAATTATTTAATATTTATAAAAATTCTGTGCGTTTGTTACCATTATTATACCCACTAAAAGTAAATGGAGGGGTAGAGAGCTACATAACAAGACCAGTTTATTAATAACATTACTATTAAGTAACATCAAATATTCTAACCTCTGGAGCATGACAGACATGTTGTTCTTAAACTCTAAACTATGCTGCCTCATGCTCAAGAATTTGGCTTCATTGTATTGAAATATTTATCTTAGAAAAAATTGTTTATTATTGTTCTAGTTTTATTAAGATATTATTGACATATATATGTGTTTATGATGTACAATATGATGCAATACATATATATTGTGAAGTGATTACCTCAATAAGATTAATTAACACTTTAGGCCTCTTGCATATTTTTTTTTTGCATGTCTGAATCATTTCACTCAGTATATTGCCCTTAAGGTACCTCCATGTTGTCACAAATGTCAGGATTTCCTTCCTTTTATGGTTGAATAAAGTATGCTTGTGTATGTGTGTGTGTGTGTACACTTTATAAATATATTTCCATATCTTGACTATTATGAATAATGCTACAATAAACATAAGAGTACAAGTGTTTCCTTGACAGAATGACTGCAATTTTTTTGGATATATATGCAGAAGTGGGATTGCTGGATCATAGGGTAGTATATATTTAATATTTAAGGAATCTTCATACTGTTTTCTATACTGGTAATACCAATTTTCATTCCAACAACATTGCACAAGGGGTCCCTTCTCTCCACAGCTTCATCAATGCTTGTTATTTACTATCTTTTTGATAGCCATTCTGACAGGCATGTGGTGTTATCTCCTTGTTTCCCTAGTGGTTAGTGATACTGAGAAAATTTTTGTGTACCTGTTGGCAATCTATACATCTTTGGGAAAATATCTATTTACATCCACTGCCCATATTTATTTTTACTTTTTTGGCTGCACCACATGGCATGTAGGATCATAGTTTCCCAGGAATTGAACCTGTGCCCCCTGCATTGGAAGCTTAGAATCTTAACCATTGGGCCACCAATTGTTGGGAAAGTCTCCAACTGCCCATTTTTAATAAGACAATCTGGGTTTTTTTTTTCCTTGCTATTGCATTGTGTGATTACCTTATATATTTTGAAAATTAAATGCTTATTGAACAAATGGCTTGAAAACATTTTCTCCCATTCAATGGACTGTTATTAAATTTTCTTGGTAGTTTCCTTCACTAGGCAAAAGATTTTTAGCTTGATGTAGTCCCATTTGATATTTTTTGGTTTTATTTCTCTGGCTTGAGATTGATCCAAAAAACTATTGCTAGCCAATGTCAAAAATTATATGGTCTGTTATCTTCTATGAGCTTTATGGTTTCAGGTCCTACATTTAAGTCTTCAATCAATTTTGAATTTACTTTTGTATATGGTATAATAATCCTGTTTTATTCCTTTACATGTACCTGTCCAGTTTTCCCAGCACAACTTGTTAAATAGATGGTGGTTTCCCTATTGCATATTCTTACCATGTTTGTCATAGATTAACTGTCCATATAAGTGTGGCTTTATTTCTGTTCTCCCTATTCTATTTTATTGATCTGAGTCTCTTTCTCTGACAATACCATGCAGTTTTTATTATTATAATTTTTTAATACATTTTGAAACCAGGAAGTTTGATGCTTTCTTATTTCCCAGGATTGCTTTGGCTATTCAGGGTCTTTTGTGTTTCCATACAAATTTTAAATTATTTGTTCTAGCTCTGTGAAAAATGCCAACTGTATTTCGATAAAGATTAAATTGCACCTGTAGCTTACCTGGGTAATATGTTCACATTAACAATGTCAATTCTTCTAATCCATGAGCATGGTATTTCTTTTCATCTGATTGTATCATCTTCAATTTCTATCATTAATATATTTTTATTAATATCATTTTTATAAAGGTATTAAGAGCAAGCAGTTTATTTTTAATGTTTATTTGTAATTATTCATTTATTTGGCTGCACTGGGTCTCAGTTGCAGCATGCGGGATCTTCGATCTTCATTGTGGCATGTGGGATCTTTTAGTTGTGACATGCAGGATTTTTAGTTGCAGCATGTGGGATCTAGTTCCCTTACCAGAGATCAAACCTGGGCCCTCTGCCTTGGCAGCATGGAGACTTAACCTTTGGACCACCAGGGAAGTTCCTCTTTCATTGATATCTTATAGATTTTCAAATACAAGTCTTTTACCTCCTTGGTTAGATTTATTCTTAGATAGTTTATTCCTTTTAATGCTAATGTAGCTGAAATTGTTTCTTAATTTCCCTTTTTGATAGTTCATTATTAGTGTAGAGAAACATGACAAATTTCTGTATATTAATATTGTATTGTGAAAAATTACTGAATCATTTATTAGTTCTAATAGTTTTGGTTGAGTCTTTAGTGTTTTTTAATATACAGTGTCATGTCATTTGCCAAAAGTGACAAATTATCCCTGCCCAAGCTGAATATATTTATTTATTTATTTACTAATTGTTCTGGCTATGACTTCCAATACGTGTTGAATTACAGTGGCAATGGGAGGAGATCAGATGATGGAGTAGGAGACCATGGAGTTCACTTCCCCACATAAATACATCAAAGATACATCTACATATGGAACAATTCTCACAGAAAACTTTCTGAAAATTTGCAGAAGAACTCCTATACAGACAAAGCTGCAAGAAAAATCTTCATGTAACAAGTTAGAAAGGAGAAGATGCATCAGGTCAGGGCCTACACACCTGGGAGGAATCTGAAAGGAAGAGAATATCCACACAGGTGGACCCTCACATGTAGTAGTGGGCAGGTAGAGGCACAATTTAGACATCCTAGACTCAGGATCCTGCACAGAGAAGATAAGCCCCCTTGGGTGCTGGAAGTATCACTAGGACAGGCAGAAAGACTGGAGAAGATTAGCTACTACTCATATGAAATGTGTGGGTGCTGCTGCCAACAATTAGGGAGGAGAGAGCCTTGCAGTGGCAGCTGCCACCTCCCCACACTCCCCAATCCAAATGAGGTAAATAGCCTGGGCCTGCTAACTCCACAACACAACTTGGTACTAGATCTGGGCAAAGTATGCCCTGGGAAAATACATAGTCTAGCTGAACAAAGACAGACTAGACCTAGACCTAGTGTGCCATCCAGGTGGGACAGCAAAGGCCATTGTCAGCACATGCATAAGGCAGCATCACAAGAATATACCATAGCATAGCATTGGATATTGGGAAGACAGGCCCTGGGAGAGGACTCAGCCTAGCTACAGAGACAGCCTGGGGAGCCTTAGACGTGGGCTTGGTAGGGCAGTGGTGGTGACTATTATCAGTGCACACAGTGGGTGGCACCACAGGAACATACCACAGCTAGCACTAGATCTTAGGCATGTAGGCCTTGGGAGAGGACTTGGTCTAGCTATGCAAAGACAGTCCCAGGAACCTAGGGTGTAATTCAGGTGGGCAGGAAGTGGAGACAAGAATTGTCAGTTCACTCAGGAGCTCACAGCTGTTTGTTTCCCACTGAGATGCCACAAGTTTCACCCACTCCACACTCCAACTTAGCCCTCAATCTGTGACAGACAGATCCTGGAAGAAGACTGTCATAGAGGCAGCCCAGATCTCTTGTGGCAGTGCAGCCATTTCAATTCCTGCAGCCCCAATGCCCCAATTCCCAGCCTATTCCTCACCACAGCCTTGCACTAGATCTGAGACAAACACGACAAAGCAATGCAAACTTGTGCTACTGCTCAGTGGAACCATGGACATTTACACAAGCAGCATATAAGTCCTCTGTGACTGCATAGGCCACACTTGCTTCAGCAATCACCTCCTTTGGGGTAGGACACTCATTCATGGGCAATGGAGCCTGACTGAACCTAAACTTCAGAGCTTATACTCCAACAACTGAGGAGCAGACGCTATCCCTGACAGGACAGTGACAACCACAGAGCATAGAGGAAGCTCCATCTCAGTCTAGCACAGGCTCCAGATACTCCAACACCAATCACATCCCCTATCAAGAGGACCGTGGCCAGCACACCCTGAGGAAAGACGTGGCTAGCATCCATGCCAAAACTACCCTCACAGCAGAAACACTGGACATAAAGAGTCTATACAGGGATGCTCTCACTTAAAAACACCCCTTTAAAACCACAGTAGATAACTTTTGCTTCTAAAGTCAGAGACAGATAAATTTGACTAAAATGAAAAGTTATAGGAGGTACTCTCAATTAAAACATCAGGAGAGATTCCCTGAAAGAACAAACAATGAAACAGAGTTCAAGTCTACCAGACCCCTGTTTCAAAAAGGTGATAATAAAAATACTAACTGAATAAAAAAAAAGATTATCAATAGAAACACAGATCACTGTGACAAGGAACTAGAAACTAGAAAGATACATCGTTCAAAAATAGATAATTAAATTTCCAAGATAAAAAGCAATCTACAAACAATGAATAGCTGACTAAATGACACGGAATAAATAAGTTATCTGGAAAAAGGGAAATTACTCAATCATAACATCAGAAACCATATTGGAAATCAATCAGAACATCAGACAAAAGGGTATATTTTTTAAAAAATGAAAGCAACATAAGAAATAGATGGGATAATATAAAACTTGCCAATCTATACCTAATAGGGGTTCTGGAAGAAAAAGAGAGAGAAAAGGGGGTCAAAAATGTATTTTAAGAAATTATGATGAAGCCTTCTCAAAGTTAATAGGCACAGGAAGCACAGAGAGACCCAAATAAGACAAACCCAAACAGATCCACACCAAGATATATTTTAATTAAAATGGAAAAAGAGAGTATTGTAAAGGCAGCAAGAGAAAAACAGGAAACCCCTACAATGCTACCAGTTGATTTCTCTGTAGAAACTTATGTAGAAGACACATATGTATTAAAACTAAAAGGATAGACAAAGGTAAGTTATCCTAATACTAATCAGAAGAAAGTAGAAGTATCTATATTAAATTCAGATATGGTCAATTTCAGAACAAGGCTGATAAGATAAAGAGAGGATAAAGACAGACATTACATGATGATAAAGTTGTCAGTTCTTCAAGACATACTAACCCTTAATGCGTATGCACCTAACAATGGAGCATCGAAGTATACAAGGAAAAAACATATAGAACTTCTAGGAGTGTTCATTGGAAGGACTGATGTTGAAGCTGAAACTCCAATACCTTGGCCACCTGATGTGAAGAGCTGACTCATTTGAAAAGACCCTGATGCTAGGAAAGATTGAAGGTGGGAGGAGAAGGGGACGACAGAGGATGAGATAGTTGGATGGCATCACCGACTCAATGGACTTGAGTTTGGGTAAACTCTGGGATGTGGTGATGGACAGAGGCCTGGCGTGCTGCAGTCCATGGGGTCTCAAAGAGTCGGACACAACTGAGCAACTGAACTGAACTGAATATAGGAGAACAACTAAAAGACTTTGGGTAGGGCAATAACTTTTTAAATACAACAACAAAGTTATGGTCCCTGAAAAATATAATTGATAAGTTGGACTTCATTAAAATTAAAACTTCTCCAGAAAACCTTGTCAAGAGATTGAGAAGACAAGCCACATACTAGGAGAGAATATTTGCAAAAGATACATCTGATAAAGGACTGTTATATAAAACATACAAAGAACACTTAAAATTTAATAAGAAAGCAATTTCACTAAAAATAGGTGAACACTTGAACACATCTCACTAAAGAAGATATATGGAAGACAAGTAAGCATATGATGCTCAACTTATCTCATTAGTGAATTACAAATTAAGCCAACAATAAGATACACCTATTATAATGGCTCAAATTCAAAACACATACACCGTCAAGTGCTGGGAAGGATGTGGAGTACAAAATCTCTCATTTATTGCTAGTAGAAATGTAAAATGGCACAGATCTTGTGGAAACTAATTTGGCAGTTCCTTACAAAACTAAACATACTCTTAGACTATGATCCAACAATCATGCTCCTTGGTGTTTATACAAATGAATCAAAACCCTATGTCCACACATAATTGGCCACATGGATGTTTATATCAGTTTTATTCACAATTGCTAAAACTTTGCAGCAATCAAGGTGTCTTTCATAAAAGAATAGATAAATAAACTGTGGTACATCCAGACAATCAAATATTATTTAGCACTAAATAGAAAGGAGATAAAAAGCTATGAAAAGATAAGGAGGAAATTTAAATGCATATTACTAAGTGAAAGAAACCAGTCAGAAAAGGCTCTGGTGCATATGATTCCAAGTACGTAACATTTTGGGAAAGAAAGGCAAAACTACAAAGACAGTAAAAAGATCAGTGGTTATTAGGAGTCAGGGACAAGGGAGGGATGAATAGGCAGAGCACAGAGGATTTTTAAGGCAGTAATGGGAACGTTATTATAAATTACCCCCTCTTAAATCCCATAGACTACACAACACCAGAAATAAACTCTAATGTAAACTATAAACTTGAAGTGATAATAATGTGTCAATGTAGGTTTATTGATTATAACAAATATACCACCATGGTTCAGGATATCAAAAATGGAGGAGGCTCTACATGTGTGAGGACAAAGACTAGAACAGAACTCTGTAGTTTCATACTATTTTGTTGTGAAGTTATAACTGCTCCAAAAAACAGTTTATTAATTGAAAAAACTAAATACAATATCATATAAATTCCATAAATGAAAAGATAGAGCATAATTATGGATGCCTCTCTGCAAAATAATATTTTAAGATCAACTGACAAAAAACAACTAAAGATAAAGTGGCTCTCTAAGTCTGAGATTCTTCTTCCTTGGCTTATTTGACTCAGGCTCCACTTCCAGCACTATCTTGCCTTTCTCCCTTGACTCCTCATGGTCAAAATCTACCTTTGACATCATTTTCTTTCTTCCCTTCTACACTGCCTATGTAGTTTATTTTTTTTCTTTAGGTAAATTTATTCCTAAAAATTTTATTCTTTTCTTTGCAATGGTGAATGGAATTGTTTCCTTAATTTCTCTTTCTGTTTTCTCATGCAAGGGATTTCTGTGTATTACTTTTATATCCTACAACTTTACTATATTCATTGATTAGCTCTAATAATTTTCTGGTGGTATCTTTAGGGTTTTCTATGTAAAGGATCATGTCATCTGTGAAGAGTGAGAGTTTTACTTCTTTTCCAATCTGGATTGTTTTTATTTCTTTTTCTTTTCTGATGTCTGTGGCTAGGACTTCCAAAACTATGTTGAATAGTAGTGGAGAGAGTGGGCACACTTGGCTTGTTCCTGATTTTATAGGAAATGCTTTCAGTTTTTTGCCATTGAGGATAATGTATGCTGTTATCCCTTGCATTCTATACCTTTACAATGAGAAAACAGAAAGAGAATAAGGAATAAGAAATAAGAAAGAGAATAAGGAAACAATCCCATTCACCATTGCAACAAAAAGAATAAAATACTTAGGAATAGATGTACCTAAAGACAGAAAAGACCTATATATAGAAAATTATAAAACACTGATGAAAGAAGTCAAAGATGACACAAATAGATGGAGAAATATATCGTGTTTGTGGATTGGAATAATCAATATAGTGAAAATGAGTATACTACTCAAAGAAACCTATAGATTCAACACTATCCCTATCAAGCTACCAATGGTATTTTTCACAGAACTAGAACAAGTAATTTCACAATTTGTATGGAGACACAAAAAACCTCAAATAGCTAAATCAACCTTGAAAAAGAAGAATGGAGCTGGAGGAATCAACCTGCCTGACTTCAGACTATACTACAAAGCTACAGCCATCAAGGCAGTATGGTACTGGCACAAAGACAGAAATATAGATCAATGGAACAAAATAGAAAGCCCAGACATAAATCCACGCAGCTATGGACACCTTATCTTTGACAAAGGAGGCAAAACTATACCATGGAGAAAAGATAACCTTTTTAACATGTGGTGCTGGGAAAACTGGTCAACCACCTGTAAAAGAATGAAACTAGAGCACTTTCTAACACCATACACAAAAATAAAGTAAAAATGGACTGAAGATCTAAATGTAAGACCAGAAATTATAAAACTCTTAGAGGAAACCATAGGTAGAACACTCTCTGCCATAAATCAGAGCAAGATCCTCTATGACCCACCTCTTAGAGTAATGGAGATAAAAACAAAAATACACAAATGGGACCTAATTAAACTTAAAGGCTTTTGCACCATGAGGGAAACTATAAG